CTCCAGAAAAAGTTTTTGAGCTCGTTGGGAAGAAGAATGATTGGGCGTTCTGATAGCGTTCTTATTTTTGCAAAGGATTGCTACTGAAAGAAGTTATTCTCGTCTGACGCATGAAAAACCGCTCGCGGTTTAGCACCAAAGCGCGTCCCTAACGCATTCAAAATATTTCACGAACTGGGGAACATTCAGGTTGCGAGTAGGTAAAAAAGCAACTGTGGAGACACTGCTTCAACATGCCGCCTTCCGTTTCTCAAGAACCCCACCAAAAAAGCTATACCCTACAAAAGCCCGGCTATTTCCAACCCAGCCATCAAAAAGAAACCGCTCCACCGCTAATTGCCATGGAATCATAACGCGGTCGCAAGCGCTTGCGGGTCGTTACGTATCTAATCCTTCACGTCAGCAAATAATCAGAGCTGGAAAGGGGGGGGGGTCGTACAAGGATCCTTCTTCCAAGGGGTCGTACTGACACCGCCATTTCACTCATCACGATGCTGTACCCTGTACATAGGCCCGAACACTCAGCCACGCCCTGCAGGATGAGTTTCTACGATTTTGTTGCGGAATCTCGTTTATTATTTGTTGGTGCGGCACCAGCGCGCTCTCGACCACTCGTTAAAGCGGAGAAGCGCTAACAAGCAAGAAGCGGACGCCATAATCAGCCCCTCCTCTCTGAAACGAGTCACCGATAGGAGGCGCGAATTCGAATGTCGTTGAGTAGATGAGAGCGCAGAATCAAAGATCAATAGCAAAAGGATGAAGTATTCGCCGCTGATCGATCCCTTTGAGGATGGCGACAAACAGCGCATCTACCTTCCTTCAGAAATCGCAGCGCGCTGGCCCAAACAATGAGTTGCGGGGGGCAGACGAGTGTTACAAGTCAGTGTTTATCTCCCAGATGGGAGCTGTCCAACTTACACCTGGAGGGATGAGGGCTTGGGGGTGGTGGTCGAACCCGGGTTAAACCCAGGATTGCGCGGTGGTGATCAGCCCATATTGTCATTACAGGCCCGCCTCCGCCTCAGTTTCAATAAAAAAAACTGAAAAAGGAGGCCTTTACAAAAGACCGACGAATGAATGGGGATGGGAGTATCTCTTTGCAGAAGTGTTACACTCGCTATCCACCTCAGGGGACATCTTGGTATGGGGATTTTGATCGATGGCAATTCTCCCCCCCGAGCCTGTTCCGTCCGCTCGGCCTCCTCATCGACCGAAGCCGTCGAGGGAAGGGGGGTTATAGTACTCATGGTGAGGTGACACAGGAAAATCCCGAAAATTCAAGACAAATCATCCTGGAGAAATGAACGGAAAGTAATGCGACCCCTCCCCCTCGCCAACAATTGGACAAGTACGACCCCCCCCCTCCTTTACAACGTCCATGAAGCGAAGAAACAACTATCAAATCATTTTTCTCAGACCAATACGCACGCCCCTCTACCGCAACCGAATAACGACCCTGTTTGAGTGATCCCTCAACAACGATGTGCCACCGATCCACTATTTCTTCTTCGGATCCGCCATCTGGACTACTTTCCTCTCCATCATAGTTGAAGTTTTTTTTATTACCTGGGAAAGACATTTCGCCATTCAGAAGAAGTGTTCTGTCAGTGTATATATATATATTTGAGTTCGTGTTTGAAAAGTAGAATGTTAGGAAATAAAAGAGTTCTCGTGTGACTGCAAAACAAAAGCGGCATCATCCGCCTACAATGCAAACTAGCAATTCCTTGTGGCGTTTGGCTCATAGCGCCAGCAACCGCAACGATTAAGACTGAAACATTCGTAAACATCGAAACACACGGATTACAAAGTATCTCATGACTGAAAACAATGATTTCTAGGACTTCTGAATACCCAAAGGAGCGTCTTACAGTAAAGACAGGATGCAGGCAAAGGAAAAGAATGAATGTACTTCGAATGTCTGCGCCAATTTATGCAAGAACCTTCCGAATCGTAAAAAAGCACGAATATATTGATCACCCCGCCCGTTGCCTGTGCATAACAACTGCTGATTCATATCGTTCAAGAATCATTGAAAGTCCTCGTTGAAAACATCTTCTGCATTGTTGCCGGCTAATGCCTGTTTGGACGTATGGGGGAGAGGGAGGCGGAGGAGTGGCAGGAGAGAATGTGTCAGAGAGTGTGTAAGTAAAAATCACGCTAGAAAGACTTGTGTATAGGGTAGTAACATCCTATTTAGGAATATGACATTCACTCTTGCCGCTGGCGCTAATGGATGACACTACGATTACCTGCGCTCCGCTAAGGCTGAGCCCAAGAGGTAATCGTAGTGTCATCCCTTGGCGAGAGGCGAAAAGGCAAGGGTAGAAGAGGATTAATCATAACTGTAACAGGAAATGGTGAAATAAGACGCCTTGTGTACAATTTCAGCGGGTTTGGGACTTTAGTAATTAAAAATGAGCTTGGTGCGAAGTTGCTGAAAGAAATAAGGTCCAAAAGCGATGTAGCCATTTGTTGCATTTGATGTAATCCGACGAACTTTGCCAGCGAAAGATAATAAAATGTTGTTCCACGTTTATAAGGCAACGTCTGTCTGCCATGTCGTTGTCTGTCCCTGCGTTCGTCCGTCCCTCCGGAAATTCGGAATCACCCAGCTGGAGAGCCAATTTGAGGGAGCGGGTCAAGGGTGGGATGGGTAGGGCGTGGGCCAAGATGTGCGAAACCAGACAAATGAACTAACTAACCACGCTTCTGTGGCGGCGTGCACTCAGACTTATTCAAAAATTCGCGAATTGCGGTTTAGGAAGAGCCCGGGAGAGCGGGGAGTGGGAAAGAATAAAGCAACCAGTGTGACGGAACGAAATGAGGAGGCACACCCCTGTTGGTGGGGCGGTTCGCGCGAAGTGAATGTGAAAATTCTCAAAGCGCAGCTGGGATACCCAGGAATGGAGATTATGAGGTGAGGAGCAAGCGGTTTGACAGAGGACTGTTTTAGGGCAAGATAACCATAGAAAGTAACAATGTTGGTGACAGTCGGCAATGTTCATTCTGCATGCCTTCCTACTAAGGGGAGTGCGCATAGAAAAGATTTATTTGACACGCCGTCTTCCTAGAGTAGGGGGTCGTTGTTTAACGAGTCATCTGTTTCCAAAATTTACAGAATTAAAACAAATATTTTTCGCGACCACAATCGCACGGTGAAGCCGGGCGATACGACTGGCCGTCAAGTGAAAAAAGTCTGGGGCATACCATTACACACGTGGAAGAAGTTGGCGCGGTGCCAAACGTTCGCGCACCAATTGGTTTAAAACAAGCCAATGATATGACTGTATCACATCATTCGTATTACTCGTTTTCTACCACTTTTTTTGTCGCATGCGCGCTTCAACAAGAAGGCAGAGAACGGCTTCGACGGGGTGACACACTCATACTGCCTGCACGTCGTTCCGCGAGCGAACTAGAGGTCTATATTAACTATTCTTCGTAAGTTAACGCGGAGAGACTGAGCAGAGCAACTGGAGTGGGAAGGGGGTCTTGAAACTAAAGATCTTATCTGTCAGTGGACAACAAAGAAAGGAAACGAAGGGTCTTACCTTCGAAAAGCGCGGCACCACAATAAGGGAGAGTGAGGGAGTGAATGAATGCACTAAATGAGACGATCTCTCTCTCAAACGTGAGGAAATCTCCACTACGACGCATTACTCAACGGCCATTGAGGTGCGTTGTCCAGTAATTGGGTGCTCCCTCAGCGCGCGAGTGTACGACGGCGAACAGCGAGTGACCGTCTGTGAACGTAGGCATTTTCTAATAACAATTCGAAGAAAGAAATAAAGTCATTCGAGTACTCTCTGCGTTCAGACGTTCTCTGGCTTATTCACGCTATTGTCTCACATTACCTTCCCCCGCACATTTGTGGCGTGCATCCGGCACAGCATTCGATGGGGATTTTGGTCGAGCTTTTACGACCCCCCCCCTTTTTTCAGGGGCTGGTACGACCCCCCCCATGCTCATACGATGGCTTGAAAATGGATGAACTGTGGTTGTTTGGTTTATACTCGGCGAAAAGTTGAACGAGGGGGGCGGAAGGGGGGGGGGGGGAGGTTATGTAGTACCATGCGCCGTACATTCGTACGGGCGTACTATACCGGCGAGAAAAGGATCAACTGTAAAAAAATGGGTGGCTCAGCCAAATACGGGACCCCCCCCCCCATAAGGTGAATGCCCATCGAAGCGCTGTGCCTGGCGCAATCTGTTGTGACGTGGTGAGAAGAGACGAAGACAATCGTTATTGCCGCGTCGGTGCGCGGCGAACTCTCAGCGTGCGTCAGAGTCGACTGGACAACAAAACTCGTATGAATTCAATCGGAAACAAGACTCCATTACGAAGGGAGCTTCAAGGTCTCTTTGACACCCAAATGTAAATGTTCAGGCAGGACAACTCTTCTGTAGGGCGCGGTGTCGCTCGTCAGGCAGCGTTCAGACTTTGCGACGGCAGCGCTTCGGTCGCGAAGTCTGAACGCTGCCTCACGCCCAACACTCATAATAGGAATGTCCTGTCGCCTAGCCCTTGAAAGGACAATCGTGTTATGACTATGTTCCCACTATGGTGGCGCTTGCTCACGCATAACGAACCAGTAAAGGAATGCAAATGAAAGGGCAGAGGTCGAGCCGGAGCTGATCTTGCATATGGTGAAATGAGCGAATTTGCCTCTTCACTGGAAGCCCTAGACCAAATATTTAAAGCTCATGTTGTCTGCGTGGTTCCGCGTGATGTATTTATTATCTTTATTCAAGATAAACAACAAAACTTCCACAAACTTCACACAAAAGGCTTTTAAAAGTGAAAAGTACAAAGTTAGTTTGCATCACCGAATAAAACTCGAAGGCGTTAACAAAAGTGAAATCAGCAAATCCGCAATGACAAAAGCAAATCGATGAAATCGATCGGCTTCAGAAAGACGTCTTTACTTATTTCTCAGAAATCAGAAACAGATGATATCTTCAAATGCCACCGTCTGAAGGCTCCACAGGGTCCTTCTTTACAATCGGCTGTTAGCTCCCCATAGGAGCCAGCCAGGAAGCTTCACCCATGATGGTATATATCCAGCAGTCTGTTTGTATCCGCCGTGATGTAGTAAGAAGGACAGACTCCGCATATTTGGTGGATCACGACCTGAAAGGCAACCAGGATCAGCCGTGTAGTTGCTCCGGCGTTGAGACTTCGCGATAACGCGCGTCAACGCGCTACCATTGCAACCGCGCTCCATTGCTAAAGACGGGAACGCCAGCCATAGCGGGGTATCGATCTGCACCGGCTGGTAGTGTTTCGAGAGAGTATAGGATAATTGGAGGGTAGGCGTTGCCTAATCACAGTTTGGTATCGATCGGCGCGGGCCACTAGTGTTCTGAGAGAGAACATAGAAGAATGAGAGAGTACCAGACTGTGTGGTCAGACAAGTCGTACCCTCTCATTCTCCCACACTCTCTCTAAACATTACCAGCCAGCAGCGATCGATACCCGCTATGGCTGCGTTCTCGTCCATTGCATTGGAGCGCTGTTGTGGTAGCGCGTCGACGATCGCAATAGCGCACCGTGCGCGTGCGCGTCGACACGTGTCATCGTGAAGCATGAACGCTGCCTGGGCTGGAGAAAAGGAAAAAATCAGGGAAATGAAGCATTTTATTTACCATCGATATCTCTGTATCCATACTCAGCTCCCATATCTGCTGTGATTAGGATGCGGCCTGTCTTCTCCATTCTTCTATTATCATTCGCTAAAGCTACAATTGCCATCCCTGGATATTCTGAGGTCTCACCTTCCCGGAACATCTTAGCGCGCTAAAAAAACAATGAAATAATTGCACAAATCAAGGTAAATCGTTAATAACATGCATATCAGTACAACTAGGCTTAAAGGCAGCGCCCGCGTTCATTTGATGTTCCTTACGCCCTTCTTGGATATCGTGCTTAGCTTTGTCGACAAGGGTGAAGGATGGACCAATTTCGCAGCTCAGAAATACGAGAGGATGGCGCCACCCGCTTGTGAAGAGGATGCCACCCCGCCCACCTGGCTGCCACAACTGCTTTGGTCCAGCCTTTGGAGGCTGCACCCCTTCAAGAACTTTGTGAATTATTGACGCCATATGATACAGTGATCCAGTAGTGACGAAAAAAGCAGAGAAAATTATGGAAAATGTCCTATATAGAAACCTATGCTGGCCAAGTGGGTGGGGCGGCCGACTCCTCACTAGCGCCACGCGCGCTATCCTCTCGCACTTTTTCGAGAAGCAAACTAGTACATACGTAGCATCCTCATAGGGAGGGCGATCGGTATCTCACCGCGAACGGCCGCCAAGCCGTGAAACATCAACTGAGACGTTGGGGCTGCCCTCAAAGATGATGGTGGTAGGTGTACAGGTCGGTTGTGGACTCCACATAGGACAGGAGTCGTACATGGTCACTGTCCCTTTCCCAGTTGGCAGAAGGCGGGCGTGTTGTACCATGAGCGATAGAGGTTGATCGGAGTCCTTACCCTGGGGGGTGGGGGGGCCCTACCCCAGCTCAAGATGATGTGGGGAAAAACCTACCTCTGCACAAAAGATTCAGAAGACCGTGGTCGTATTAGCGAAAAATCCATATTCATAGGAAAAAGGAGTTGCTATCTTGCTGAGAAAGCACAGACGACTAGCCCTGGCCAGGCCGCGCCTGCCGTGCCCACCCCTCCATCGATTATTTCTGCCCTAAACAACACACGTCACAGCTACAATCCTCTTATCCACCTTGGTGTTCAGCCCATGTACGCTTATTTGTGCGGAACACATTTACTGCAGAAGCTAAGCGACAAAGGTCCCGCAGGGAGTCTTTTGGGAGAATGCCCACAACGTACGGCATGTGCCGCTGTCGAGCTGTACAGAAAAATAACGCGCCAGGCAAACCTGAGAAAGCATAGACAGAAGCGTGTCTGGCTAGGAGTAAAGACAGTCGTACGGCGTGTTGTGTGTGGCCTGCTCTGCTGCCCAGCTTTCTGCTACCCTCCTATCGCGCCATACTCTCCTCTCCCGGACGCTGGTAGACCCTGGTGCACGCTGGCAGACGCTAGATCGATATCTATACTTTCCCAGTCGCTGATGCTGCCGGACGCTCGAAACGCTAGTGGATGTAAAAGTATGAACGCAGCCGTAAAGCTCAACATACATTACAAAAGCAACACCTCGTCTGATGCTGCCATATCCGTATTGAGGAATTTATTGGTTATTAATTCCGTTCGTACAGCACCAGGCCAAATTGACACCACGCAAACGTTCTTGGACTGAAATCATACTGCCTTTGTGATGATGTTCAATCACGAATCGTATAAGGAATGGAGCGAATTATTCAGAAGTTTATGAAATTGCTGCATTTCTACAATGTTTTCCCAACTCACCTTAAGTTCCACCGCCATATCAGCTGACAATCTGTCCAGAGCTTGTTTTCCAGCTCCATAGGGTACATTGAACAGATATCTGAAGGAAGTCATAAGAAAGATGACAATTACGTGTCAGGGTTTTTTCCCTATTCGCGGTCCCTGAGAAGAGTAGGATTAGGGTATTAATACGACCTGCGAGGAGCAGTATATTTCCGCTTTGTTAGGCGCTACGTTAGCGCCTTTCGCAAGGAAGGTACCCTTATAGGGCCCTGTCAAGCCGCAACATACCAAGTCGAACGCCCACCACACCCGCCCGCCCACCAATGGACGACAGTTCCGTCCTTGTGCTCGTATTGATTTATTTGCGAAAGTAAAATATTGATATGAAGCGAAGGGATTGACATGAAGCGGCCGCGGTGCTGCATGGATATATGAGTACATACGTGCAGCCGTATCTACCGTAGCGGTTATTGGCAAGATGCCTACGGAAACTCGTCCGAAATTGCTTTTTGAGTCAGAGAGATCAAGAGTTAAGGTTCAGTTAGGATTAAGAAGAGAGAAAGGCTTTTCTTCGCAGTTTTTGACCGTTTCACTTCGTTTTTTCGCCATTTTCCCACTAGATGGCCTCCTGCTAGCATTTTAGACCGAGTATCAAATTATAGTGCCGTATGCCTTCAACAAACAGTGCACGCCACGACGGAGAGCAAGATGTTCCCCTCAGACGGCCAGTCCCCTCTCACATCAGGAAGAGGGAGGAAGAGAAGGTAGGGTAGTGAAACAAGTAATTTTTCAAACAGGGTACAGGATCGTGTTGTGTTGAATAACGACTTCTTTACGACCGCGCGCCCACATTTCCTTATTATGGTGCAACTCCCTTTTCCTATCCTATCTATCATCTTCCTGAGTTTTCCGATTTTTCTACCTCCGCATCAGTTTCCTAAGTTTTCCAGGGAAGTTGTTCCAGTTGTTTGTCCAGAAAATTGACTCTGAGTGGGAAGAACATCTTCCACCTTCCTGCCCAGCAGC